TAAAGTGGTCTTCAGGTTAAGAACAGTTTCAGGTTAAGTACAGACCTCCGGAACGAATTAAGTACTTAACCTGAGGTACCACTGCATAGGATCAAATCACAAACCAGGACGACTTCTGTAAATCTGGGACTGCCCCTAGAAAATAGGGACACTTGGAGGGTCTGAAGTTACCCTATGATCAACCAAGAGTTGGAGGGCAGCCAAACAGGGGCTAAAACTACAAGGAGGCTGGTGGGGGGTGGGTTACAGCTCTCAGAGCCCCTACACAGCTCCTCATTTCTACCCAGGACTAATGGAAGAAGGATAAATGATGCAGAATTTGTATTAAACACACACCCATGTATTCATTTGCTTAATGTATGCTGTCTGCGGGATTTCACGTTCCTGGAAAAGAAATTTGGTTTTGGGTTGTTTTGGCTTTACAACATAGGGATGAACCAAAGGGGGTGGGAGGTGGATGGGCAGAGGTGGCATTAAGAGACTGCCAACTGTGTGTCCCAAACCATAGGATCTTTGGGTCCTGATTCAGCAGTCCTATACCAGGCTGCAGAAACAGGGCCAACGAGAAGCCGCAGCAGGAGTGAGATGCTGTTAGCCTGTAACACCTTTGCTCAGAGACCTGCTACCGGGACAAGTTCAAGGTGTTACTATTAGTATATAGAGCCTGGGACACGTTTACCTGTAAAATCGCCTGTAAAACCCATATACAGTGGTACCTCGGGTTGCATATGCTTCAGGTTGCATACGCTTCAGGTTACAGACTCCGCTAACCCAGAAATAGTGCTTCAGGTTAAGAACTTTGCTTCAGGATGAGAAATTGTGCTCCGGCAGCGCGGCAGCAGCAGGAGGCCCCATTAGCTAAAGTGGGGCTTCAGGTTAAGAACAGTTTCTGGTTAAGAACAGACCTCCGGAACAAATTAAGTACTTAACCCGAGGTACCGATGTACCTTCACTCAATTATTTCAGTCTGTGGAACTGGCATTGTTACTGGTGCCAGAGAATACCATACCCTCCATACCCAAACGTACATACCACACACACAAAAAATCCGGGAGGGATACAATTTTCCAGGACTGCCTCCTCTTTTTTTCTTGCTAGAGAATGAAGTCCATTGTGTATGCCATAATTTTGTGTGATTTCATGCCATGTCCCACCCCCACCCCCCAAAAAAGTGCATTTTCCGGCTTGGCACCCAAAAACCCACATTTTGGGACACCACGCAAGATTGCAGCCCCAAAGAAAGCGCTTTGGGGCATGAGGAACCGTATGAGATCACAGTGTACAAAATGGTCACCATTCTTTCATGAGGAAAAAAAACAGCAATGACCCGTTTCCCCCCCCGGGACACTTGCTTTGGAACTCCCTGCCTATGGACAAAAGGCAGGCGCCTTAGCTGTACGTTTTTTACACCTGTTAAAAACATTTTTATTTAAGCAATCCTATCTAGATAGGTAGGATGCTGACAGGTGTTTTCATCTGTTGTTTTTAGTTTATCATGGACTTTAATCTTTATTGTTACAGTATTTGACTGTTTTACACTTTTTAAATCATTGTTTTATCTTTTTGTAAACCACTTTGTTTACAATCAAGCGGTATACAGTGGTACATCAGGTTACAGACGCTTTTAATCAGGTTATTTAATTCCCAATTAAATGTACTATCAGGCAAAACAATCATGCTGTCAGCCCCAACCCGCCATCTGCTGGCACCCAGCCACACTCCTTTTGCTAGATCCACATTGCTCCAGTTGGACCTGTTCTGACCCAGGACAATCTAGGCCTGTCTCAACCTGTTGTGGATGGATCCTGGGTCGACGCAAATAGGCCCACTTCAGCTCATTATCTGGCATTTGTCCAGATCTGCATTCCTAATATGTTACCATCCTCCGCTGTTGTCACTGTAAGTAATGGCCTGTTTATGCATGCAACAAGTTTCAGATTAATTCTTATGCAGAATATAACTACTACTGTGCTTGCAATAAAGTGAACAAATTGTTCAGGGGAGAATTAATTAACAATGGTACTAATGCGTGAATCAAGGTGGGGATGGATGCAGTCTTTGTATAACTGCAGTCCAAAGGCAGGGAAATCATTTTTCTTCTGGGGGCCATGTTCCCTTCAGCTACAGGTCAGGGAGGCTTGCCAGGTTTCTTGCCCTGGGTGAAGCCTCCAGAGGGGTGCCATTGAGGCTCCCAGCCTGTGTGTGTGTGTGTGTGTGTGTACGCAAATGTGCATTGGGTGTGTGTGTGCCCAACTGGGTCTTTGACCTAGATGAAATATTGCCTACTTTTGCCCCTGCCTTCTTTGTAACCCGCTAGGGGCTGCATGCAAGCTTTGATGAGTATCATCAGACCTTGCCATGTGACCTGACCTAGCCAATCTTGATGGCTCTTCTCCGATGCTTCCCTTTCTATGGTCAGTATCTGCCAAGTGACTGTGTAATGCAGCGTCTCTTCTAACCTTGGACCACATCTCCCATCATCACTGACCACTGACCATACTGGCTTGTGCTGATGGGAGTTGTAGTCCAAAACGTATGAGTACTGTAGGTCATTTGAAAAAGGTTCCCAACCCCAGCAGTAGAACTTTCTAATATGCCCTTAGTGAAAAATGTAAGCAACTCTGCAGAATTCCTCATGCTGGGTTAGACAATATCACTCATTAACATGCCGGCACTTTATGGCCTTGAAAAAGATAAGCACCAAGCAAGCAAGCAAGCAATAAAAAAACACCATCTCAAACAGCCTTGGAAAGATTTGAGGTTAGCTTCCAGAATAAACATACTGGGGTGCAAATCACAAATAGATGCCCACAGTGCTTTTTTTATTAAAAAAAATCTTTAGGGGTACTCTCATTTCCCTAAAGGTAAAGGGACCCCTGACCATTAGGTCCAGTTGTGGATGACTCTGGGGTTGCGGCGCACATCTCGCTTTACTGGCCCAGGCAGCCGGCGTACAGCTTCTGGGTCATGTGGCCAGCATGACTAAGCCGCTTCTGGCGAACCAGAGCAGTGCACGGAAACGCCATTTACCTTCCCACTGGAGCGGTACCTATTTATCTACTTGCACTTTGACGTGCTTTCGAACTGCTAGGTTGGCAGGAGCATGGACCCAGCAACAGGAGCTCACCCAGTCATGGGGATTCGAACCGCCGACCTTCTGATCGGCAAGTCCTAGGCTCTGTTGTTTAACCTACAGCGCCACCCACGTCCCTCTCATTTTCCTACTCATGTTGAATTACTACCCCTCAATGAGGCCAAACTTAGATTCACAAAATGTTTAGGGGTATGTGTCCCCCCAGAAAAAAAGCACTGGATGCCCAACACAAGACTACAAAACCAGCATTGAAAGCAAATATGAAATTTGTAAAACATTTAAAACACATATAGGTAAGGAAATCATTTGTCTGGAAACAGAAGAGTTTCCAGCAAATAATTAAAGGAAGGGCACACCTGTTTAACATCAATAGGCAGGGAGTTCCAGAGAGCCTTCCCACACAAAAATATACCGTATTTTTTGCACCATAACACTCACTTTTTTCCTCCTAAAAAGTAAGGGGAAATGTCTGTGCGTGTTATGGAGGGCATGCCTACGGGTGGCATGCCTACGGATTTTCCTCCTCTAAAAACTATGTGCGTGTTATGGTCAAGTGCGTGTTATAGAGCGAAAAATACGGTACATTGGGGGGGCTGCAGGTGTTTTCCTCTCTGACCCTCCCTGAGCACATGTTACATAGGGTTATAAACCCTGGTTAAACATGTGGTCAGAGGAAGAGAAGGAGACTCATGTACAGTAGTCAGTTTCAGTTCTTCTCACTGTCCCAATCGTACTTTTAGTTCTTCATATTTCCACATTAGTTTGCTTTCTTTTTCCTTTCATGAAAATTCATTACCATTTCAGTACAATTTTCTCCTAATAAACACGTTTCTTATGTAATTATTCCAAATGTACATATTTTTGCAGAACGGTTTCTCCTAATACAATGCATTTTTGTATGTGATGTTCCACTACAATATGCATTTTTAGGCATACTTTACACTAGCACATGGGGGGAAAGGCATTGCAGATCTGCAGCAGTGTGGGTTTCAAAGGATGGCTATGTTTCAATCCGCGTATTTTTTTCCGGTAGGTGTGAATTGGATAGACTTGCTATTAAATGTGGGTGTAGCAGAATTCCACACCCCCACAATCCCTACACTTCTTCCTACTCAATGGGAGAGGGTTCCAGATTTCCATGACAGGGGGAATATGATGGCAAAGGGTGGCTTGGGCATATAGAACAGGGTTCCCATATTTCAAAAAGCAAAAACCAGGAAACCTCAAAAGTAAGAAGACTCTGAAAATTGCTGAGCTTTTTTCCCCTAAAGAAAAACCCGAAAGTTGGGTTGTGCTAAAGGGCTACATCTGGCTCTAAGGTTGAGTACATTTGAGCAATAAGGACCATTCTGATGTCCCGTTTTGCACACACAGAGAGAGACAAACAAACAAACAAACAAACAAACAAACAAACAAACAAGCCACACACAACTGCAAGGAATCCCGGAATGAGAGAAAGCTGAGCTGCAGTTTCCCACATCAAATTTCGGAAGCCCACCGAAACTGCATCAAGGCTCATAGCCATTCCCTTGCCATGCCTCTTGTGCTTTCAAACAGTCCATCATCAAGAGCAGCCCAAGATTAATCAGGCAGACACTGGGAAAATGAATCGGCAGACATCTGTAGGACTCGCATCCCACACAAAGAGCTCAATTTAGATTTGTGGCAGCGTTACAAGGGGAAGGAAACTAAAGCAATATTGAGACAGATGCAGAATGGTACTGCACACAGAAGGGGGAGAAAACTGCAGGAGGCACACACAGACACCCCCTCTTTCTCTAGCCCCTGAAGAATCTTGGTTTGGAGAAAATACCCTAATATGGCTTAGCAGCTACAGTATGCAAATTATGTGAAATAGTGGGTGTCTTAAGTAAGACCAGAAGAAGATCCCTGCTGATTGGGGGAAAGGGCTGTAGCCCCATGGTAGGGCATCTGCCTTGCATGCAGAAGATCCTAGGTTCAATCCCTGGCCGCTGTGTTAGCTGGAAATGTCCCGTCTGAAATCCTGGAGACCCACTTCCAGTCAGCATATACAATACTGAGCTAAATGAGCTAATGACTCAGAGGTAGGCAGCTTCCTTTGTTTGAGGAATTTATTTTCTCTACTATGTTATTTAATATTACAAGGATGTTGCTTACTGTTTCCAACACCATTGGTTGGCATGTGTCTTTCTTCTCGGGAGACAATGGAGGAATGCTTCCTCAGGGGTGAGGTCAAGCTGTTGGAAGGTCGCAGCGCCTGCTGTGGCTGTAGAGACTGATGAGGGAGGGACATGGTCCAACACCACTCATATTGTAAATTGCATTGGAAACTGATTCTGAAACCAATAGATAAATAGTACAAGGAGGAGCAAAGGAAAAGGAAGATGGAGGAGGAGGAGGAAGAGGGAGAAGAGCCTTCCTGGATCAGACCAAAAGTCCACATAGTTCAGCATCTCTACTTCCAAAAGTGGCCAATCAGATACCTTCAGGAAGCTCTCAAGCCCTGCCACACGCCTCCTCCTCCTCCTCAACTTGTAGAAATTGCATGAGAAACTAGGAAGCTGTCTCATACCATGTCATACCTTTTCTGGACTTTGCTATCTAGCAGGAAGGACTGAAGCTCAGTGGCAGCACTGGTGGAGGAAGAGGAGTGCGGGGGGGGGGAGTGCACCACCCACAGCAGTACAATCCCAGTGGGGTGCCATCGCAGCTGCCTCCCTGCCCACGCTGGGCGCCATGCCCCCACAGGCAGCGCGCCATGTCCCCAGGACATGTGCCATGCCCCTGCAGGTGGCACGCTGTGCCCCCAGGACATGCGCCAGCCCCGCCCCCAACTGCTCTCCGCCCCCCACCCCAGTGCCAAAGCATGAAGCTCCGCCACTGAGTGGTAGAGCACCTGTTTTGCATACAGAAGGCCACAGGTTCAACATCTGGCCCCCCAGCACCTCCAGGTGCAGCTAGGGCAGAATTAATGTGTGAAATCCTTGAAAGCCTCTGCCAGCCAGTGTAGATAATATTGAGCTGGATGGACTGATTGTCCAGCTCAGTATAAGGCAATTTCCTATGTTCCCATCTATTCCAACTAGCAGCAGCTCTCTGTAGTCTCAAGTGGATGCCTTCCCCATAACTACTAACTGATTATTTTTTAACATGGTCCTTAAAAAAACAACCTGACAGGAATTCAATGCAAAGCCTTCTGCATACAAAGCACATCCTCTACCACTGAGTAGTGGCCCCTGCTAAATGAGATTGAGTGCCTGGGTTGTAGTCAGTGTTAGCCCTACTCAGAGTAGACCCATGACTAAGGCCCCATCTGCACCATACGTTTAAAGCAGTATTACAGACCCTCCAAGTGTCCCTATATTCCAGGGATGTCCCAGATTTACAGAAGCCGTCCTGGTTTCTGATTTGATCCCGGAATGTTCTTCTTTTCCTTAGGACATCCTAATTTTCATCAGATAAATGTTGAAGGGTATGGAGTTATCTGGCCCCTGACCCATTTGAAGGGGGCCCTGCATAGGGAAGGTTTTTTTTAATCTTAAATGTTTTATTATGTTTTTAATTTCTCCTTATTTTCATCAGAGAAATGTTGGAGGGTATGATATTGTACCAATGTGAATAACCACAGCCTCCCCTCAAAGAATCCTGGGAACTGTAGTTTGTACTGTAGTGAGGTACTGAGAGGTGGCAGAAGACCCCCTATTCCCCTCTAAGAGCTACAGTTCTCTGGGAAGAGGGATTGACTGTTAAAACATTCTGAGAATTGTGAAAAGTTTGCATAAGAATGCATTGTGAATACAATAAACAAAACTGCACTGAGTTGCATACAACATTAGTAATATAAAAAGGCCCATTGTCAACATTACTAATTTACGGTTGTAGCCAATGCTAGTGCTACTAAGAGCAGATCCACTGAAATTACTGCACATGAGTAACTTAAGATCATTAACTTCAATGCATCTGATCTGAGCATAACTGAGTTGCATGCAAACCTCAGTATACCAAGTCTATTAATTTCAAATTAATTGGGCTTATTCATTCAGTGGTGAAGCTGCATGTTCCGGCACCAGGGGCAGAGAGCAGGCGGGGGCATGGATGGCACACGTCCCGGGGGCGTGACATGCTCTCCCGGGGGCGGGGTGTGTGTCCCAGGGGCATGGCACATTGTCCTCGGGGGCGTGGTGTGCACCCTGGGGGTGTGGCATGCGTCCCAGGGGCGTGGCGCACACCCGCGGGCGTGTGGTGTCCGGTGCATGTCCAGGGAGCAGCCGCAATGGTACCTCCTCCCCGACGGTGCCGGGGGCGATGCGCCCCCCCGTCCCCCCGTCCCTCCACCAGTGTATTCATTTCAACTGAGCAAAGATTAGTTCAATGTGACTCATTAGATGAGAGGGAAATAGTTGGGGGGGGGAATATGCACATTACTACCGTGTTTTTCGCTCTATAAGACGCACCTGAACATAAGATGCACCTAGTTTTTGGAGGAGGAAAACAAGAAAAAAAATATTCTGAATCCCAGAAGCCAGAACAGCAAGAGGGATCGCTGCGCAGCAATCCCTCTTGCTGTTCTGGCTTCTGGGATAGCTGCGCAGCCTGCATTCGCTCCATAAGACGTAGACACATTTCCCCTTACTTTTTAGGAGGGGAAAAGTGCGTCTTATAGAGCAAAAAATATGGTATATCAGGAGGCATATGCATGAAAATAAGTATGGGTTTTCATGTGCACTTAAAAGAAATGGTGTTGTGGAGTGTGCTGAACTGAAGACTGGTAACTACAGGAATTGCGAAAAGCAAAACTTGACACTTCTGTCCTGTGCTGCTACACACACACAAATTTTGCAGGTGGCAAACTTTCTGGTTGAAGACTTTAGCCCTCTAGTGTAGGATAATCTAGTCTATACTCTGCCCTGCCATTTAGGATCATAGGAATGTGCCCTATTCTGAGTCAGACTATTGTCAAACCAGCTCAGTATTGCCTACACTGACTGGCAGTGGCTCTCCAGAATTTCAGGCAGATATTTCTCCCAGCCTTTACCAGAAAAGCCAGAGATTGAACCTCGGACCTTCTGCAAGCGAAACAGAGCTAGACTGCGCTACAACCCTTACTTAGCCATTGGACCATCTAGCTCAGTATTGTCTACACTGACTGGCAGCAGTTCTACAGGATTTCAGGCAGGAATCTCTGCCAGTCTTACCTGGAGAGTGCCAGTGGGGATTGAATCTGGGACCTTTGCATGCAAAGAAGATGCTCTACCAATGACCTACAGCATTACCCTGAGTCTCCTCTATTTACAACACTTTTGTGCAACTTACTCCCTTTCTTTCTCCATTATGTGCCTTTAGGTGAGACATTAAAAATGTGTGATCTGTGGAGTGATAAAAACAGCATATGCTTTCAAACAATCAGTTCTTCTGAGTTCTTTATAGAAGAAAACTAATTTGTATTCCTGGGAGCAGTTTGCAAGATGGATTTTCTTTTCACTTCTTACTTCTATTCATCACATTAAGATTCGTCTCAGTTAAAAATAAACAACCCCAAAAACCACCTCTTACAGTAGAAGAAGCACTGGTACCCAGACTAGAGGAACTGAGCTGATCTGAGACCTGGAGAAGCTTGATCTGGTTCCCATTCAAAGGCAAACCTCCTAACTTGCACTTTCTGGATATGAGAACCAAAACAAATTATCTTTTAAAACTGCACTTATCCAAATTTTACAATGCACTTCTCCTGCCAGGTAATATGTGCACACATGCATATAACAGGGCACAGTCACCAAAGGCCCAAGTGTCCTCTCTGGGTAGGAGTCCCTTTTATCAGCTTCATCTGGTTCACCAACTATGGTTGTTCCTGGATGAAGATAGCCTGACTGCTGCAGTCTATGCACTGATAACCTTGAGGCTAGATTACTGTATGTGGGGCTGCCCTTGGATCTCACTCGGAAGCTCCAGCTGGTGCAGAATGCTGCAGTCAGATTGCTGGTCAAGAACACGTGACACCATTGTTAGAGCAGCTGCATCTTCTACCGAGCCAAGTTCCAGGTTCTTGTGTTGATTTACAACCCCTTGAACATCTTGGGTCTGGGATACTTCAGAGATTGCCTGAAGCTTTCTATCATCCGCAGGAGCATCCCTAGCTGCTCCCAGAGATGGCAAAGCTCATTTGACAACAACGAGAGAGAGAGCCTTTAGTGTCCTTGGCCCAGTCCTGTGGAACCTCCTGCCAATAGAGATTCAGCAGGAGCCTTTTAAACACCTGCTGAAAACTTTTCCATTCCACCAGGCCTCTGCAGAGAATTAAGAGTATACCCTGCCCCCATGGTCTACTGATGTTCAGTTTTAATTATTTTGCTTTTAACTTTTTATGATTTTACTGTATGCTTTTATATTGGTGAAATCGCTGTGATACAGTGGCATATAAATATTTTAATAAATAAAAGTGTCCTTTAAAATCCCTTAATAAGGGAGGTGGGTTGAAAAAACCCCCACATAATCCTGTAGTCTGACGCGGTGCAGTCCATAATTCAACCACTTTATTCTGCATATTGTTTAGATGGCTGTCTCTCAAGCAAAGGAAAGGTTAAAGGTGAAGGTGAATATGCCCCAGTGTATAGCTCATTAAGGATGTGATAAGGGGCTGTGGCAGACCACCTGCTCTGAATGCAGATGGTCCCTGATTCAATCTTCAGCATCTCCAGGTAGAACTGGAAATGACCCGTCCATCCCCCCCCCCACTGCAGCCCTGAAACCCTGGAGAGCAGCTGCCAGTCAGTGTACGCAGTAGTGGGCTGGATGCCCTGCCCTAGATGCACCGACAGCCTTGGTGCAAGGCAGCTATGTATATTACAGCATTGGAAGCAATCAGGCTGGATACAGAATAGCAAGGTGGAGGGAAGAGTGATTATATTGCCCAAAGATATGCCTAGGATAAAAATCAAAATTCTATGGGGGCAGCTTCCTAGTGCAAAACAGAGAAGTCAAAGACAAGTCTGGTTAATATGTGGAAGGAGGGAGGGAGCCTAAAGCAATAGCTAGTACACCCACCCCCACTCTCTCCAACACTGAGTGAGTGTATATTTGTGAATACTGTGGGGTGTGTTTTTGTTTTTTGTATTTATGTATTTTTTTGTTTTTATATTGTAAACCACCCTGTGATTCTTGGATGAAGGGCAGTATAGAAAAAAATAAATAAGCACAAACACAAAGAGACCAACCTCCATGCAAGCTCCTTGATTTTCCATCAGCCAATTATTAGGGCTGAGATTAACATGGGACACTTTTCGTGAACTTTTTAGCAACTAGTGGATTAGGTGGAGGTGCCCTTCTGCCCAACTCCCCCAGCTAAGCTGGCCTTCTGCTGGCCATCACTGCAAGAGCTCCAGCTCTGTTGGTGCACCACCTCCGCTCCTGCCTGTTAAATGCGTAGGTGGGAATATCATCACAAGAATGGCCATTTGGCAGCACAAGAGGGGAAAAGGCTGGGCCTGTTTCGCTGCCCTTGCTATCTTTCTGTGCCTCCCACTTTCTGCTGTGAGCAATGGGGTTACAGGTGTGCAAAGCCCCACCACTGTAGTGGTGGTGAGAGGTAAGTTAGGATTGTGCCCTGTGAAAAGCAACTCCACTATTCTCATTTTTCAGACTGTGTTTGCCTGTTCAGAGTGACAGCAGTGCCGTGGGGCCTCATTCTCACTGCCTTTGTTCTACCTCAGTAATTGCCCTGTGAAACTAAACTTTGTTGGCACTACCACTCTTTTTGTGTGATCTCTAATTGGTCGGGGCTATCCAGGAAGGAGAAGCAGAACTGGGGGGGGGGGGGAGGATCTGAGACAGAAACAGTGGCTGTTATTGGCCAGAAGCAGCAATGGGAAAAAAAATCGCGTTTTTATGGAAGAGAAGATTTTGCGGCACTGCTTTCAGTCCAAAAATTGAATGAGGAACTTTTGGTACAGTCCAAACAATCACTGAGCATTTGATAACTTGCAGTTGAATGCATGAATGGACTCCGTTAAGTCTGCATTGATGGCAAAGGCTTGTGAGAACAATGTTAAATCTGGGATCACCCATCATACATGCAAGTCTCAACTGACTAATGCAGTAATGAGTGGTGCTGTGACAAAATTTCATTCTACCTTTTTAAACATTCTCTGTCAATTTATCTACTAGGGTGGCCACTGACACATCTCCCCACATCCCACCCCACCCCCCAGAAAAAGAAAGAGGCAGAAAAGGGACAAAGATCACCATAAAATTTGCTAATTTATACGAATAGATACAAATTTAAATATAATGGGTTGTATCCAATTAAGTTCTTCTCAGAATACACTAATTGAAGCCAATGGGTCTAAGTCTGTTAATTATTCTGAGTAGGACTGGATGTAGCTCAATTACAATAATTTAAAGCAAAATACTGCTGGTGTGATTTAATACATCTCACTAGCCTAGTGGGGAAGACTGACCAGGTGAGATCCTAACCAAGTGATGAGACAGTTTCAAGGCTCCTAGTCTCCCTTTCTGATGAGTCTTTATCTTTATAAAACTGGAGTTGGATTGGAGCATCCTTCAAAACAAAGGACTTCTTCAGAGGACCATCCTCTGCCAGATCTTCAAATAGAGGTTCATTTCCTGTAAAACAGGGAGCATAGCCACCCTAATTCCTGGTCCTTCTCTGGTCACCCCCTTATTAGAACTGGGGTTTTGTAAGGACAGTCAGTGGCATCAGCCCGCCTGAGAGTCCGTACCTTTGGGATGCAATCACAGACAGAGGAACAGGCTGGTTTTGGGAGCCCTGCCAACAGCATATCTCTATGCCTGCCTATACCTGGGATGCACTTCCTAGAGGGCATAATGCATTAGTCATGCCTTTCCAACCCGTGTGAAAATCTTTCAGAAGCAGAGAGCTTGGATGTGACATGAATGCTGGGGAAGAGTACAAGCAATTCTAGATGCCATTGCCCTGCTCCTAAGCCCATTCATGGATTACCCCACTCTTAAGCTTATTCACGCATCACTACACTCCTAAACCCATTCATGGCAAGGCATGTCACACCAATTGATTTCAATTAAAATATCTGCCATGCCCAAGAGGGAATTCCATCCTGTCCTGCTGGCTTGCTGAGGCTACTCAGGAGGTGAATGGGGATGTGTGGATCACTGCAGGCCCCTAACCCACAGTAGGTCTCTGTTCCCTGCATTCAATTCAGCTGCTGGCTTGATTAACACCCCAAAGGTCATATTCCTTTCTGTGGAACATTGGGGGGGGGCACATGCCCACAGTGGGTGGCTTGAGAGCAGTACATGTGAAAAGGATCTAGGAGTCTTGGTTGACCACAAACTTGACATGAGCCAACAGTGTGACGCGGCAGCTAAAAAAGCCAATGCAATTCTGGGCTGCATCAATAGGAGTATAGATCAAGGGAAGTAATAGTGCCACTGTATTCTGCTCTGGTCAGACCTCACCTGGAGTACTGTGTCCAGTTCTGGGCACCACAGTTCAAGAAGGACACTGACAAGCTGGAACGGGTCCAGAGGAGGGCAACCAAAATGGTCAAAGGCCTGGAAACGATGCCTTATGAGGAACGGCTAAGGGAGCTGGGCATGTTTAGCCTGGAGAAGAGGAGGTTAAGGGGTGATATGATAGCCATGTTCAAATATATAAAAGGATGTCACATAGAGGAGGGAAAAAGGTTGTTTTCTGCTGCTCCAGAGAAGCGGACACGGAGCAATGGATCCAAACTACAAGAAAGACGATTCCACCTAAACATTAGGAAGAACCTCCTGACAGTAAGAGCTGTTCGACAGTGGAATTTGCTGCCAAGGAGTGTGGTGGAGTCTCCTTCTTTGGAGGTCTTTAAGCAGAGGCTTGACAACCATATGTCAGGAGTGCTCTGATGGTGTTTCCTGCTTGGCAGGGGGTTGGACTCGATGGCCCTTGTGGTCTCTTCCAACTCTATGATTCTATGATTCTATGATTCAAACATATAAATGTGCATGTACAAGTATGTATGGCTAGCTTCTCCATACATTCACATGCTACTCTCTGTCCTCCATCCAGGTGAGCAAGAGGTTCAAGGGCATATTCCATCAAGGCAAAAACACTCAAAGAGGGTTTGAAGCAGGGTCAGTGAGGTGGGTTGCCTGGGGAGGGTTCTGGAGGCCAGATGGAGAGGCCTGGAAGCCTACATTCAGCCCCTGAGCCTGAGGTTCTCCACCCAATGTAGGACCTGGAAGGGCAGCCCCTAATGGCCGGCTCCTTACCTAAAGATCACTTAGGAAACCAGGAAGCTGCATTCTAACAAATCCCACCATTGGTCCATCTAGCTCAGGACTGTCTACACTGACTGGCAGTGGCTCTCCAGGATTTCGGACAGGTGTCTCTCCCAGCCCTACCTGGATATGCCATTGGGGATTGAAACAGGAGCCTTCTGCTGTCTCTCGTACTTCTTGATACTGCTAATAACAGGTGATGCAGCAGGATTTGGCATCACCAGCCCTGGACACCCTGGCTCTCTATCTCTGCCCATTTTTGCCCCCTTGAATATGTGGCACTCAAAACTGCATGCCAATGTCACACCTTCCAAAAAGGAGAACCCAAAGAGTTAAAAAACAAGAGAAAATCTACTGGGTCAAAAGTGGGAACAGTGGTCGCTATGAAGCAGTGGTAGGGGACATTTTTCAGTCAGGCAAAATGGCTCAAGGCAGAGAGGTGGTGAAGAAGGACTAGTGAAGCAACCTTCACATGAGAAAGGTTCTGGCCATAAGGAGTCCCATGATGGAGACCCCTGGAAGGCTGAGGTCCCCCACCCCTACTGTAAAGCCCATAGCCCTCCAAAGTACTGTTGACATGGATTTTATCTACCCATGTTTAGGGTTGCCATATTCTGAAGAGCAAAAAAGAGGATGTTATTGCAACTGTGATTTTAAATGCCCCTAACTATATGTGGGCTAGAGAAGCACCAATATATTGCAGAGGGGGGCGGGCAGGAGAAGAGAAGAGTCTTCAACCACCAGTTATGTCTATATCTCTTCCAGAATTTTGGCAAATTTAAAAAATCCACCGGGACAGAAATTTTACCCCTAAAAAAGAGGATGTGTCCTGGAAAAAGAGGACACATGGCAACTCTACCTGTTTAGCCCAAGAACAGCATGTCTTCCAAATACAATCACAAGGAACCAGGCTCTGTGGGGTTATTAATTATACAGCATACTTCTTGTGTCCCATAACTTCCACCCACAAGTACATATGTGAGGTTACCCCCACTGACTTTTATGAACTTCACAGGGTGGGAGGAAATGACAACATCAGTACCACCCAGTGCATGTCAAAGCAGAATCAGGCTCAGGGTCTCCCTAATCCAGCAGTTCTCAACCTGTGGGTCCCCAAATGGTGTTGGACTACAACTCCCATCATCCCTGAGCTCTGGGGACCCACAGGCCTGCCCTAGCTAGTATTTGAATCCACAGTAGGTCTTAACAAAAGAAAGTACTTCTTCACACAGTGCACAGTTAAATTATTAGAATTCACTCCCAGAAGAAGCAGTGGTGGCCACCAATGGGATTCTAGTCATTTTATCAGCTTTGGTTAATATATCAGTGATGAGCCTAGATGGCTGGGGAACAGATTGCCTAAAGGAACATCTCTTCCCATACCTAAGTGTCCAGTCCTCAAGACTCTTCATGAGACAGCCTTCCCCAGGTCCACCACTGCCATCTAATGAAGTGAGGCAGTGTAGCCTCTAGGAAGGGAGCCTTTTCAGTGGTGGTGCCCTCATGATGAGATGTTTCCCCCCCAACCAAGCACAAAAACAATTTCAGCAGGTAGAATTCCCTTTCAAAAAATTAGTGGTCACATATAATACCCTCATTAAAGGACTGATTCATTGTGGGAGTGCAGTCTCATGACACAATTAACACATTACATCAGAGCAGGGGTCAGCAATTTGGCATCTTTTGGGGTCCTTGGGCACACTTGGTGTCTTCCCTTAGTGTCTATAAAACTTGGAGCTTTCTGCACTTCACTGCCCCCTTGGTCATGAGGTATTGAGGGAACTTACCTTGTTTTGCCTTGAAAGGTACCTAGAGCTAAAGGAGAAAGTTGGAAAAGTGCTGTTCTTTCCAACTCCCTATTTTGGGTAGATTTCCTGTCCCTCACTCAGCAGAATGACCAGGAAGGTACAAAACTGGTACAAAACTGGCTTACCGCATTTGGAAGTCCGTGAAGTAATACACATTGCTACCTAATGCATGGCTGACTTTTGCTTCAAAGGGGGTGGGGGGATGGAGAGAGGAGCTGCAAGTGGTACTCAACCCTGCTGCTGGCACCTGTCCATCGCCACCCTTGCCAAGATCAGTCCACCAGCCTGAGCTCATCCATTCAGAGAAGCAAACAAGTACCTAGGTGCCTTTCTGCCCTGCAGAAGACCTGCTATTTCCACAGCTGGTTTTCTATGTGCCCCTGCTGTTCCCCCACCCCCTCCCGCTGCCCGCCCGCCCGCCCGCCCGCAAACACACACCAGGTAGATTCCCTCCCCCTACAAGGAAATACCCGCCTAATTAGACAATCCTTTTCATGCACTGCTTTGTTTACATGGAGCCCCTTCGCAGTCGGGGAATGAATAAAAGGCGCCAGTCCGCCTTACAATCCAGCGATATATGCAGTACATACGGTGTTTCAAGATTTAGAGAAGACAGACAGACAGACAGAGCATGCCGGTAGGCGGGCTGTGGAAGGATTGATGGATATAAGAGAAAGGATGGAAAAGGGATGCCATGGAACAGAGGTAAAGCGGAGAACTCGGTCCTGCATCTATCTGCAATGCTGGGATCATTCATTCAGGCTGTGAGCCGCCCGCCCCACCGCCCAAGTGAAATGGACGGTTTCAAAGGAAATGCAAAAACAGGCTTGCCCATCGCTTGCCTGTTAACAGATGTGTACCCAGAAGATAGTGTTGCATTTTTGATTTGATTATTTCCCCTGGTTAATTTTCCTTTATCTGCATGCAAACCTTGGTGTGAGCGCGAAAGAGGGAAGGTTCTTTACGCAAAGGGGTGTATTTTCCAAACCGTGTGCTCCTGCCTCCCCAGACAGCTTCCAAAGATGGTGCATAATAGCACACACCACAAATTGGGAAGACTGGGAGAAAGGGCTTCAGCAACCCCCAATCCCCCGCACAGATTAATGCACACTGCAAGTTAACAGGGGCTGAAGTCACGCTTTCGGGATTTTCAATAACTGGCATGCAGCAGTTTTGTATGTTTATATGAATCTCATCCGGGTTTGGTTGTTTTGGAATCTTTGGTCTTAGTTAATAATGGCACCCCCTCCTCCCGCGGGGGAAAAAAAACAGGTTTGGGATGTTAAGGAGCATGGATGTGGGTTTACAATAAAAGGGAGGGGGAATCCAATTTTCCACATTTTTGCTCCAATAAACCCATTCGGCTCCTTGCTATGTCCGAAGTCCACTACGGGGGATGGTCATCTCCACACTGAGGCATGCAATGCTGCAGTACCTGTGTCCAGTTTCGCTGCCCAAGGACCCCAGCCTCCGCGCGGGTAGCAAGGGGCTGACCCCCGGGACATCCTCGGTCGTTGCCAGAGGCGGGATGGTTTTCTGGTGGGCATTGCTCTCGGATGGCGACTTCTTCAGCTTTGCCCTGGCCATCGCGGAGGCTTCTTCGGAGATGGGGGCTGCCTTCACTTCCCCCCTCAGCAAGAACTCTTCTCTCTTCTTGCTCTTTCACTCATAGCAATCCTTTGCTCGAAATGCAGTTGGGTCGAGAGCGGGAAGCACGTACCATTTTCTCTCTCCCAGGCACACAACACACTTGGCCCCCCCAGACAAAGCTGCACAGTGGAACAATCCTGCCCTTGTGGATTTATTGTGGTACTGATGAAGGGAGGCTCTGGCTGGCATGGTGGTGCAATGAATCAGGTGGCATGCAGCGGAACCGTGGCAAGATGAGAAGAGAAAGTGCTTCCCCTGGCTAATAGGATTTATGCTGGTGGCACTTCCAATGCCTTGACCAGTTAATATGATGATAGGTGATATTTTTCAGTGGCTGTAGTAGTAAAATGCTGGAGTGCAGGAGCTCATCACAGAGCACTGAATAAAGAGCCCAGGAGAACCCTATAGCCTTGCACCTGTGGATAGACCCCACATAGAGTAATAGAATTGGAAGGCGGTCAAAGGGTCATCAGGTGCAACCCACAGCAAAATATAGGCAGAACTTTTGACTGTATGTGTGTGCAGTGTCATAGTTTGTACAGGCACAGGTGGGTTGAATGTGGTCCTCTGATCCTCTCTATCTGGCCCCTGAGACTCTTCCCCAGGCCACACATCTCAATAGGTTTGCTCCACCTCCTTAATGACATGGGTGCTTTTGCCTGGCTGGATTGTGTCCTTGACCTGTGATAATGCCTCTGGCTTGCTTGAATGAAGGATGGAGAAAGGGCTGTGCTTGAAAGCCTTGTTGTCACCTCATTCTGCCAGTTACCCTGGTGTACATATACATATGGGGATGCAGGTGGCGCTGTGGGTTAAACCACAGAGCCTAGGACTTGCCGATCAGAAGGTCGGCAGTTCGAATCCCCGCAACAGGGTGAGCTCCCGTTGCTCGGTCCCTGCTCCTGCCCACCTAGCAGTTCGAAAGCACGTCAAAGTGCAAGTAGATAAATAGGTGCCACTCCGGCGGGAAGGTAAACAGCATTTCTGTGCGCTGCTCTGGTTC